TAACAGTTGGTTTTTTATTCTATTTTTGGGCCTGGGGGTGGTGGTCAGGGTGGGGGCAGGGACAGGTGGTTATTCTTCCGGCTGTTTTTGAAAGATAAAAAAGGAAGATTTTGTTAAATTTTAAGCCTCTGATGTTTAGTTTTATTTTACCGAAAAAGATTTTTTTTTCTTCTGTAGGGATTTGAAAGGGCACTCTTGTGCATCCAATCACATGGCAATATAGATCCTGACTTGGATACTTTCTCGATTGAGGCACACATGATTGATGAAATAAAAAAGCTCAGGGACATGGCCGCAACATTAGTTGCATCACATTCTGGTATTCACTTTCGACGGTTGAAACTTAAGTATGTTAATTCTATAGGTTAAGTTCACTCTTTATTAAAATATTTCTGAGCTGAATATGGTGCTTTCAGTTTTGAGGTAAGACCATAAAGAAGAAAAGGGCTTGTCATATTATCGCTATGTAGACCCTTATATAGCTTAAATGCCTGCAGCGAAGCTTATCTGCTTATTTCTCATTGGGGATTAGGATTGAAGTGGCATGGCAAGACATAGGTTTAGTGCGTTGCTAGAGGAAACAAACATTCTGTACTCTGTGTGCTAGAGCACGAAAAGAGCTTAAATGTCGTCAAAGTAACTAAAATATAAGGAGGAAAGATAAAGGAGCATAGTTGACATTAAAGAGTCATAAATGTTTCTTGAAGAGAGCCAATTTACAAGACAAGAACCTTGTGACACCAATATCGGATGTGTAAAACTTAGCTTCAAAGCATGAAACTCAAATAAAATGAGGAAATGCTGCTGGTACCTAACTGAAGGCAAAGGCCTTCAGGAAACAAAGAGAAATCAGAAAGTGTGAAGCCATGTAATATGTAAAACTGTGTTTTTTCCCCCTCTCCATGCGCCTTCACTCTGTAATTGACCCCTTATTATGGAGAATGGCAGAGGACGCTAGTGACACTTTTATTTACACTGAGCAAATCTGCTTGCCTCTTTGATATATTAGAATTTACATACCTTGAAATATATTACAGTCATGGTCATTGTTATCGAGGCGCGCGCCCCGGGCACGCCCCGGGCGCGGGGTGTTGCGGGCTGGGACAATTGTGCCCCGCACCAGAGGCAGAGCGCTGCACACACACGAGGCGCACGCCTCACGTGTGCCTCATGTGCGCCTCGTGTGCGCCTCGTTTGCGCTTAACACCTGTATCATGTAATAAACTCTTTCTTCTGTTTTTTTAAAAATAATTTACATATTACATATTTACATCAAGTAATAGACTCTTTCTTGCTAGTTGCTAATCCATACTCCATCTTTTCATGTTTAACCTATAAAAAGAAAACAGTAATTAGTAATTTAGTATACTTGTTTGCTAATTATAACTTCTCTAATTAGCATGCTAACTAGAAAATTATGAACATGTAAATATGTAATTGTTATCCATCTTTTCATACCAACTAACAAATAGCAATTAAGAATGCTAACTAGAAAATTATGAATAATCATGTTTGGTAATCACTTAATTGTTACTTAAAAATACATATATCATATTTTAAATGAAAATACATATTTCTAATTTGTTAGTTGCTTGTTTTGTTTCATAGACTTTTGCTTATGTTGGAGATTATCTTGCATTGTGATTTGTGGAAACTTATGAACTATGAAGCACGGACACGCATAACATGAAGCCGTGTCGTGTCGTGTCCGTGTCGGACACACGTGTCGAACACACGTATCATATGTATTTTTTAGGATTTGCCTCGTGTCGGCGTGTCGGATGGCCGTGTCGAATCCGTGTCCGTGCTACATAGCTTATGAACTTTTCTATGTCATGCATGCTAATTAAGACTCTTTCGTGATTTAGTAGGTGAAATTATATTTCGTAGTCTTTTTATGTGACAATTTATAAACATGTTGCTTATATGCTTCTTTGTCTTATGTTAAAAAATATTAGTTTGGGTTGTGCGCCTCAATTCAATGAAGCGCGCGCATCGTTGTGCGCCTTGCGCATGGTACGCGTAAGGGGCCTTTGCGCCTCGCATTGCGCCTTGCGCCTCGATAACACTGGTCATGATTCTCTTTTCTGTCTTTCCTACTCCTGACTGCCTATGTTCTATTTAGTTTCAGTTTAGCAATGGTTTTCTTATTTATTAGAAAAAGTTTGAGGTCATAATGTATCTTTATCTGATATGAAGTTGGATTCTGGTTATAGACAACCGTTGCAAATCTATAATGTGGATCTATAATCAACATTTATTTTGATCTTAAATTTGTTATGGTTATCTGATCCTTAGACCTTACACTTTTTCTGCAAGTCTGAATTGTTGAAACTGATATTTATGTAATTGTCCTTTGGCTTAGGAAATGTCCAATAACTAAGTCCTGGATAAATTATTATAGAACTTTCTGCCTTCGAGAAAATGCGTTACCGGTCATCCAACTTGGAGTGTGTAATGGGCTTTTGTATGAGGATGTAATTTTAGAAACTGAGTGACATACAAATCAAACCTATATTTTCCGTTTCATATTCATTTATGGGTTAATATAAGACTCAGAGGCATACCTTGTGGTGAACATTCTAGAAAAATTGGCATCACTTATTAGAATTTTGATCCAGACTACGTGTTTTGGTAAGACTACATCTGTTACCATTGCAGTCGAACCAGGAGTATCAAGTTTAATTTATCTTTGGGCTTTTTTAATCATCGAAAAATTTCTAACAATTTTCAATGTTGTTTTTAAAAAAATTACTTTGATAATTAGTTTCTAAGCACTTCTTGCCCTTGGATATTAACTAGTCTATACAGAATCGGCCAACTACATGAAGAGAAAAGCTATTCACGATGAAGGAAAGTGGACCTCACGTTCAGATAAGAGACAAGAAGTTGCAAGCGTAACGTTCAGGAATGGAATTAAGAGAAGAAACATGATGAAACTACAACAGAGTCAGCGCTTGCTTCAGAACACCACGCCTTAAGCAATTGCCAATCCAAGTATATGACATTTGTTTTCAAAGGTAACAGATATCTTTAATCATCTTTTGACGCAACTCTGTTTGCTTGCACAATAAAGGATACTTAGTTCCTTGGCATACATGGAAATTTTAAGCTTCTGGTTTCTCTTCCGTTAATCCTGAAATCCTCAGTTTCTTTAAGCCTTTAAGGATAGCGCTAATAGTACCTATTATCTTTGTGCTACTTTACTATTAGAATGAGAAAGTGAATTTACTTCCTCCATCGTCCACCTCAAGATAAAGAGGAACTTCGCATCATTCATCATTCATTTGAGTCAGAAATAATAACAAGAAAAGTATTATTGTTTAAGACTGCTCTTACTCTTAATCAAGATGCAGATTATACTCACCCAGGGTTTAGTATAATCTGCATGTTTTTTTTTCTGCAAAAGGTGCTAGTTCCTGACCTCTCCCAGTTAGCAATTGAGTGATTAAAACAATATAATATTTAGTATTCTTTCTGGATTTTCTAAACTTATTAAATTTGGTGTGCTTAGGCATGATAGGAACATGTAAATAGGTTAACGTTTTTACCTTTGTTTCTTTTTACCCCATAAGATGAAGGCTGTAGCACCCTAGCACTTGAGAGTTTTTAAATGATCAACTTTCCATTCCTACAGCTAGCAGTTTTGTTGCCATTAATGATATTTTACCAGCCTCGTCTATTTCTTACTAGTTTAATAGCCTGTGTATGAACCATCAAATTGAGTATAAGAGCTCAATTTCTTATATTATCACCTCAGTGATTTTTCTTTTAGTTAGATAATTAGGAAATAAAGATGCTAAAGGTCACTCTTGTTTGGGTCAAAAGTTGATGTTTTCATTGTCATCGAATCTATTACAACTTTGGTCATTACAATAAACTCAAATAAAAAGTTGATCTTTTTATAAGATCTCCTTTATATAATGAAAATAAAGATTACAACTCTTGTCAAACAACGCAACGAACGTTTATCACCCGCTGCTTGCGTGAGATCTTTGCCTGTGCCGGGGACGTTAATATCCGTGGACCGCCGCGGATCAGATCCGGTTAACAGATTGATGAACAAAACTCTTACTTCACGAAGAAAGTAATCGCTACAGCGGTAATCTCGACCAAGTGAGATCACGACTCTTCTCGGGATTTAAGATCAAGCTTAAATCCGGAGGAATAGGGGACGGGTCTCGAGTCTCTCGAACTCCACTCTTTATGCGCAGGAGATCGTCAAGATCCGCTAACCCTTACTGTAAATTCGTGGCTCCACTCTCCAATTCGGCAGCGCTTCGCCCTCTTGATCTCCTCTTTAAAATGGAGGTCTTTGGCTCATATTTATAGGCCTCGGATGCGGTTATTTGGATGGGACTGATGGATTTCTCTGTATCTTCAGTTAACAACCGTACAATCACAATATCAGATCAGTTGGAACGCTCAGGAACACTCAAATCCCAAAAGAATCCGTCAAAGAACCGAAAAAAACTAACTTTTGGCCGAACAGTCACCCATGGCTCGGCCTTGGCCGGGCCACCAAATGGTGGCTCGGCCTTGGCCGGGCCACCAAATGGTGACTCGNTCGTGGCCGAGCCACTGGTCTGATCGGGTCGCTTTGGCGCGACTCGGCCGCCAGGGGCTTTATCTGTTTTCCGGGTTTTGACTTGTTCCGTCGTTACGCGTATTTCGTTGTTTCGTTGATCTGTACGCTGTTTTGGTGGCCGATGAGCGTGCGGGCCACTTGGTTTGCCGATTTGGTGGCTGGTGAGTACACGAGCCACTTGGAGGTGGTCGGTGAGTGCATAGGCTACCCGGTTCGCCGTTTCGCTTCATGTGTTCATCAGCATCGGATAATCCTCTTAGACTTAGATAGTGGCATTCATCATCTTCTCTCTATCTCGAGCTGTGCGTGGATACCTATAGGCATTTTTAGACGCCTACAGATACCCCCTCCAAAGTATTTCAGACTCATTCTTTTATGGAGGAGTCTGGAATGCTTTGGATATGATAGTCCCCCGCCTTTAGTCGGTGTTAAAGGACCTGTGAACTGTTTCAATTCTTGACTTCCTCAGCCTTCAGTCTATCCAGTGCTTTGTCGAATAGATGAAGTTCTTCCGACGCTGCGTTTATCGTCTGACCGTTATCGAAGTCTCGAATCGGAATTGGTGAGTTAGTTTTGGCTCGTGTCATTGAGTTGACTTTGAACTGATTATCTTTGTCGCAACGCGTTGACCTAGGGCTACGCGTTGCTCGGCGTTGGCCTTAGGGTTTTGTATTGATCGGCGTTGACTTTCATCGCAACGCGTTGACTGGCGTTAATACAGTTTATACTCGTACGTTTGCTGGAGTATACACAATTTAAGCTCTTAAGGCATTGGAGCGTGGCGATCCCAAATTTTAGGCTGCAGGACCAACTATTAAAGTTGTTTCGTCTGCAGATATGGATCTTATCCCGAAGTCGTTGGATGCTCAAGTCACGAGACCAACTAATGGGGCTGGTGTGTCAGTGATTTTCGCATATATAGGATTTTTGGCAAACCTTCAGCCATCAACGGGTTTGATGAGCCTTTACCGGCTACCGTTTGAGTCGGGCTAGCATGCGGATTGTTTCGGGTTTGATGAGCCTTTACCGGCTACCGTTTGAGTCGGGCTAGCATGCGGATTGTTTAAGTCTGTTCCGCACGTGACGTTATGCTAAAAGAGTTAACTCTTTTAGTGCTACGATATTGAATACGTAGACTTCGTCTTTCTCACGTGAAAAGACTAAACGGCGACGCGTATTAGGCGTTGACTTTAAGTTTTTTGGCAAACCTTCAGCCTTTAACGGGTTTGATGTGCCTTTACCGATTACCGTTTGAATCGGGCTTGTATGCGGATTGTTTAAGTCCGTTCCGTATGTAACGTTATGCTAAAAGAGTTAACTCTTTTAGTGCTACGATATTGTTTAAGTCCGTTCCGTATGTAACGTTATGCTAAAAGAGTTAACTCTTTTAGTGCTACGATATTGAATACGTAGACTTCGTCTTTCTCACGGGAATAGACTACCCGGCAACGCGTGTTAGACGTTGACTTATCCCTTCTTAGGATTCGGGATAAAATTCCCCGTGCGTATGAGGCACGGATTTTAGTGTTATTAATAATAACCTGCCACAATATCGAATATGTGGGCTTTTGTCCTTTTTACGGTAAAAGACTGACCGGCACGCGTGTTAGGCGTTGACTTATTTCTACTTAGGCTTCGGGATAAAATTTTTCATGCATAAAAAACATGGATTTTTGTTGCTATGATGCTGAATACGAGACTCGGTCGTTTTTATGGGAACGAACCACCCAACAACGCGGGTTAAACACTGACTCATCCCTACTTAGGCTTCGGGATAAAATACCTCAGATTGGTATTCTGGTGTCTTTTTCAACCGATAAAAGACTAAACCGCCAACACGTGTTAGGTGTTGACTTATCCCTGTTCAGGATTCCGGATAAAATTCCCCGTGCGTGTGAGACACAGATTTTGGTGTTATTAATAACAACCTGCCACAATATCGAATATGTGAGCTTTTGTCCTTTTACGGTAAAAGATTGACCGGCAACGCGTATTAGGCGTTGACTTATCCCTACTTAGGCTCCGGGATAAAATTCCTTATGCATAAAAGACATGGATTTTTGTTACTACGATGCTGAATACGTAGACTCGGTCGTTTTTATGGGAACGAACCACCCAACAACGCGGGTTAAGCGCCTACGATGCTGAATACGTAGACTCGGTCGTTTTTATGGGAACGAACCACCCAACAACGCGGGTTAAGCGCTGACTCATCCCTACTTAGGCTTCGGGATAAAATGCCCCAGATTGGTATTCTGGTGTCTTTTTCAACCGGTAAAAGACTAAACCGGAAACACGTGTTAGGTGTTGACTTATCCCTGCTCAGGATTCGGGATAAAATTCCCCGTGTGTGTGAGGCACGGATTTTGATGTTATTAATAACAACCTGCCATAATATCGAATATGTGGGCTTTTGTCCTTTTTACGGTAAAAGACTGACCGACAACGCATGTTAGGCGTTGACTTATCCCTACTTAGGATTCGGGATAAAATTCCCCGTGCGTGTGAGGCACGGATTTTGGCGTTATTAATAACAACCTGCCACAATATCGAATATGTGGGCTTTTGTCCTTTTTACGGTGAAAGACTGACCGGCAACGCGTGTTAGGCGTTGACTTATCCCTACTTAGGCTTCGGAATAAAATTTCCCGTGTGTGTGAGGCACGGATTTTAGGAGTTGAAAAAGTGGTGTCTTCTCTTGGGGCAAAGACGAACCCGATGCGGGAGAGGAAGAATTTTATATTCTATCTCCCAAAGCTGAAGAAGAAGAATTTTATATTCTATCTCCAGTTACAAAAGGAAACTCAAAGTGGGATCTCTACTTTAAGAATCCGGGAAGGTGAAACTAAGAGTGGGATCTCTACTCCGAGAATCAAAAAGATTCGGATAACCCTAACTGTCGGAAAGTTTGATTACCGAACTAAAGATGGATTTCTCGTTTATCGAGAGTGAATTGTGATTTTGGTCCTTACTGTAGGAAGGTTTGACCAAGCGGGAGTTTGAGGTGATCTTAACTGTAGGAGTGTTTGATCACTCGATTTGAAAACGGGCCTCTCGTTCATTGAAAGAATCGAGAGGAGATTCTGGCCGTGGTCCTAACTGTAGAAATGTTTGACCAGGTGGGAGGTTTGAGGCGATCCTAACTGTAGGAATGTTTGATCGCTCGATTGGCGAGCCTCTTGTTCATTGGAGGAATCGAGAGGGGATTTTGACCGTGGTCCTAACTGTAGGAAGGTTTGACCAAGTGGACAGTAGGAGTGGGAGTACAGAGGGGATTTTGACCGTGGTCCTAACTGTAGGAAGGTTTGACCAAGTGGACAGTAGGAGTGGGAGTACAAATCACAGTGGGAGTGTTGACTTGTACAAATCACTCAGTAGGGGTTCTTGGTGTTAAGTGATAAAGACTTAACACTAAGGGGTTTGACAATTCATCAAGGATTGATAGATCAAACTTCTAATCATTATATCCGGACTCTAACCATGAAAGTGTTGAGTGCATGAACATAGCGGAAGTTTGAATGGATTAAACAGGAAAGAATTTTGGTG